ACCTGCACCAACAGACGCAGACACAGAACAAGACCTGAAGCCACGCGCACCAGCCTCGTGTCCCCCAGCCTGCAAAACCCTTCAGGTTCCCTCGCCCAGACAAGTCTCGCACTGCCTTCGCTTGCCGCCAGCCACCAGCACTCCTGCATCTTCCTCGCTTCCCTATCCGCCATTCGACATCGAGCAGAGACGCCATCGACAGCCTCGTCTCCCCGAGATCCCCCCCCAGCGTCTCGCGAGCCCCAGACTCAGGCCTGGAGTCCAGCCGCCGGGCGGTTTCCCGACACCACGCCATGACGCCCTCGCCCTCTCAGAGTCAGGGCCTCGAGCCGCGGCGGCCGAGGAGCGCCCACACGCAGACCGTGTCGGTCAACATTGCCGAGAGCACCACCGCCGGCACGCCGCCTGCCCGCCGCTTCCAGCTGCACGTCAGCGAGTGCGTCGAGACCAAGACCGTCACCACCACCACCCGCCTGACCAGGAAGTTTCCCCAGGTCTTTATCCGCGACCCCGCCCCTCTGGAGAGCCTCGACACCAAGGAGTATCCCCTGGCCATGAAGCCCACGCCACCCGAGCTGGCCGACTTTTCCTACAGTTATGACGGCGCCGACGACGAGGACGACGACGCTGACGCCGGAGATCTGGGCGATGCTGACGAGGGCCCTGACAGTCAACTGGTAAGTGGCTTTCAGCCTCGCGGTCGTAGCAGGATTCCCTTTTCTGGGTTCCCTTTGTTTTGCCCTGTTTTGCTGACTGAGGACCGTGTTCATGAACGATGCAGGTCAGAAGAGGTCAGGCCTCCAGTCCAGCCGTCATCAAGCAGGAAGCTACATCCAGCCAGGTGCAGACACCCGAGCCCTTGAGCCGCATACCGTCTGCGTCCTCGCCCGAGCCCTTCTCTCGCCGGAGCCACCGATTAGCCGCAGCAGAGTCCCCCAGCACGGCTGCCACGAGATCCTCTCAACGCCTCGCCCGTTCCTCGAATCTGCAGGCCGTAAATAGCAGGCTGCGACGCTCTCTCATCCAGGGCAGCAGCGCCGCTGGCAGCAGCAGCAACACCACTGAGAGCAGCACTGGAACGCTGCGTCTTGACACTGGCGACAGAACAGCCAGAAATGCCTCGATTGGCGTCCTCGCCACGCCCGACGTTACCGACATGGTCGAGCCGATCCCGGGCCGGTCGCTGCAGAGGCGGCCCCTGCACCGCGAATACTCGCCCAACTCGCAGGGCTTGCTTCGCGGCCGTTCCAAATCTCCTCTGTACGAGGCGTCGAGCCCCGCCGGTAGCGATGCACACACCTTCAGTA